ATCGGGGAAGAGCTCAACCGCCGCGACGACCAGGAGCCATCACACATAGCAGCCCACCACATCAACAGCCACCTCACATGGGAGGAAGCACAAGCGCGAGGGTTTTTTCCCTCCACGCGTGGCACGGCAACAGCCAGGTGGACAAGCTCGCAGAGAAAGCAGCCCACGAGCACGACATCGGCGACGCCCAAATGTCATGATACGACTGGGTCAGCGCCACGGCAGCGCTTGTACGACGCCGCATCGCCGCCGCCACAGTCGACGCCATAGACCGACGCCCAACAGAGGACCACGAAGTTCGCGCAGCACGAAGAACCCAGTTGAAGCAACGACCGGCACAGCAAAGACGTCGACGGGACTACTTTGCCGACGGACCACCACAGCCAGACGGACGACGGCCACTCACCACCCACGACCTGGCGCGGCCGCGACGTAGGAAAGGATGTGTATGCAAGCGCTGCACCCAACGAATTGGACGGGGCAACAGCTTCGAAGGGGTCAAAACTTGGTTCCAACAGGGCTGCGCTGGACCTCCACCGAGGACACTCCATCACCCAGCACGGCCACACTGCACACCACAGCCACCCACTCATCTTCATACGAGCAGAGGCACGCTGGGTTTGCAGGCAATGTGGCGCCACCACTACGGAGTACATCTCGGAAAAGGTGCGTGCAGAATGCAAAGGTCGCCCTGGGTATAACAGCGTCAGATGCAGGCGACAACGTTGGCTCGACATCGCTGCGCGCGAATCCAGCACCCACAGCCCACCTGACGGCAGCGACGGACACAGCACAGGCATGCCCAGCGACGACGCCCAGCCCGAGACAAGCACAGAAGGACAGCAACCAGCACAGCAGCATGACGACACTGAGCGTTATCAGCAGCACGACGTTGTGACCAGCGCCAGCGCCGGCAGCGCTCCCAGGACACAACCTGCTGCGGACATCGGCGTGGGAGGGGGGGGGGGGGGGGCGAGCGCACCCTGCGTCCACATGGGGGGGCAGTTGGGGGAAGCCAGCGAGGAGATGCATTGGATGGCCCTCGCCCGCGGAACCTGACTGCTCCAACCCGACAAGACGAGCCGCGCAGCTGATGCAGCGCCGTCGTGGAGGGGGGCGAGACCCCAGCACCGCGTCCAGACACAGCGGCGACAGAGGAAAGCGACGAGACGAGGAAAATAAGATGGGCACAACGACCCCCCAGCGCGGCGACTAGCCAGCAACGCATTGGAGAGCAACGACGCGACGCAGACCAGCGCGACGTGCAACACCTACGGCGGCAGCACCACCGAGACCAGCACACCGCCGACAGCAGCACCACTGAGTCCAGAACGACGAGAATTGGGATTGGCCTTGACGACGCAGCCACTGCCACCTTCCCTGGAAGACATGTCGCGCAGGGTGCCCAGCGCCCACGTGCTGGGGGCGCTGCGCGGGGCGCTGAGGATCTCGGGGGTGGGCCGCGGCCATCGCGGAGGGCGTGCTCAGCACCGAGGCTCCGCGCGCCTCCGCAAGACGCGCGCGGAGAGGTGGGTGGCCCCCAGGGGCGCGGCCCGCCCGAGCCGAGCCGCGGCCCATGTGCGGTCCGCGCAGGGAGGGCGGCTCCAATCCATCAAGACGAAGCCGCTGCGGGGCGCAGTGCCGACGCGAGCTGCGACGAGACTCCAACGCCACAGCCAGCCCCAACGTCAGCAGTGGAGAGCGACGAGGAAAGAAGGAGGAGGTGGGTGCTTCAACTCCTCGGAGCGGCTACTAGCCAGCTGCGCAACGGAGAGCAGCAGCACGCCCTCGATCAGCACGACGCGCAGCACCCTCGGCAGCAGCACCGCCGCGACCAGCACGTCGACAGCTGCGCCACTGCGACCTGCACAACGCGCAGTGGGACTTGATGGGGCGATTCTGCTACTGCCACCTTCCCTGGAAGGCATGTCGCGCAGGGTGCCCAGCACTTGCGCGCTGGGGGCGCTGTGCGGGGCGCTGAGGATCTCGGGGGTGGACCGCGCCCAACGCAGGGGGCGCGCTCAGCCCCGAGGCCCCCCGCGCCTCCGCAAGACGCGCGTGGAGAGGTGGGCGGCCCCCAGGGGCGCGGCGCACTCGAGCCGCGGCCCGTGCGCGGCCCGCGCGGGGCGGCCGCGGAGAGACGGAGTCAGCCATCGCGGCCGGGAGGGAACCTCTGGAACCTCCTCCTCCTCTTCATTTTCTTCCTCTTGGCCCCTACTTTTCTGATGGTTGCCGAACGTCCAGAGTGCAGGAGGCCGCGCGTCCGCTGCCATTTAGGCCCGTCAGTTTGCGCCGAGGGGGCCTTCCGCCGGGGCATGCCGTGGGGGCTGGACGGCTTGGCGCGCGACCTGACCCAGGCCGCCACCGCCGCGCTGGTGGTGCGGTCGGGGGTGCCGTCGTGCCCCGACTGCGTCTGCTCCCCCTCGCTGGCCTGCCCGCCGCTGACCTGCTCCTGCCCCGGCGGGCAGGGCCAGGTGAATCCGACCGCCGCGGAGGGGTACTCGGCGGCAGAGCTGGCGGTGGCGGCCGGCGCCTGCCTCCTCCTGGGGCTGCTGCGGGCGCCGCGGACGCCCTCGAGGTGCCCGCAGGCGCGGCCGTCCGCCTGGGCGCCTGGCTCGTCGCCGGCGCCTGCGCCGCTGGGCCCGCCGGTGACGGCGTCGGCCGCGGCGGAGCCAGCGCCGGCGGGAGCTCCTGCGCCGGCGGCCCCGCCGATTGAGGACGTCCAGGCGCTGGCCGCGGCGCAGGCGAAGGCTTTCCGTCGGCCACTCACTCTGGGACAGTGATGGTGGTCGCGGTCGCGTCGGGCTGCTTCTTCCTCACTCGGTGCAACGTGGTGGGCGTCGCGCTCTTCCATGCGCGATTGCTCCTCCTCGCCACGGGTTACGTGCTGACCCCTGCCATGGACGACTACAGCGAGAGCGTGGCGTCGAACGCGGACATCCTCAGCGACCGCCAGATTGCTGGGCAGGGCGGCCGCGTCGGCGGGATCGCAGAGGCACAGGCCCACCGTCTCCGCAGGCTGCCGACGCAGGCGGAACTGCGGGCGGCGCTGCGTTGAGGAGCGGCAGCCGCCCCGCTGGCGGCCGCCTCGGCCGCGGGCCCAGCCCTGCCGGGGGAGGCTGCGGCGGCGGCCCCTGGGCGGACGCCAGCGGTGCCTGACACCGCCCCCGTCGCGCCCTTGCCGCCCAAGGCCGCGGCGGCAGGCTGGGTCTGGGTCGCCGCGGCGGACGTCGACGGGCTCGCGGCGTTTGGCGAGGCCCTCCAGGGTGGCGTCGCCGGCTGGGGGCTGCTCGCCGGGCGGGGTGGCCGCCGCGGCCGCTTCGCGCTCCCAGGGGGCGGCGGGGCCTCCGGGGCCATGCTGCTGGATAATGAGGTGGGGTACTTCAAGCACTTTGATGAACGCGAAGAAGTAAGTATTTATAAATGGTTGTAGTGATGCTATGTTAGAATCCTATAGGAGGATTTAGGATAGGATAGGATGCTATTTAGGGTCGGTTAGGGTTCTATAAGGTGGCCATTAGTATGAGTGACGATTAGGGCAACTAATTCTTCCTATAGTGGATATAGGGCCCTATCATCAGCGAAAGTTGCAAAACCTAAAGCAGTTTTTTTTTTTTTTTTTTTTTTTTTTTTTTAAAAAAAAAAAAAAAAATTTAAAAAAAAACACTTGTTCACTACATTTCATTATTCTTCATTATGTTTCACTATTTTTCGTTATTTTCATCATTTTTCATTAATTTTCATTTTATTTTTTCTATGTTTCATTATTGTTCCATTATGTTTCAGCATTTGCTCATTATTTTCTATTATTTTTTTCGAGAAGCGGCGGTTCGCTCGACGATCTCCCCCGTCGAGCCGCGCGCCCGACGATCTCTTCCGTCGAGCCGTGCGCTCGACATCTTCCCTTGAAAAAGCGCTGCGTTCCTAATTGCCGTGCTCCTCCCGCGTCTCTCCCGCGCCCCTCCCGCGCCCCTCCCGTGCCCCTCCCGCGTCCGTGCCGTGTCCGCGCCGTGTCCCTTATGCCACTCCTCTCGCGTCCCTCCCGTGCCCCTCCCGCGTCCCTCCCGTGCCCCTCCCGTGTCCATCCCGTGTCTCTCCCGTGTCTCTCCCGTGTCCCTCCCGTGTCCCTCCCGTGTCCGTGCTGTGTCCGTGCCGCGTCCTTTATGCCACTCCTCTCGTGTCCCTCCCGTGTCCCTCCCGTGCCCCTCCCGTGTCCCTCCCGTGTCCCTGCCGTGTCCGTGCCGCGCCCCTTATGTCAGTCCTCCCGTGTCCCTCCCCTGCCCCTCCCGTGTCCCTCCCGCGTCTTTCCCGCGTCCCTCCCGCCCTTCCCGCCCCCCCACTCCCCCCGCGTCTCTCCCGCGCCCCCCCGTGTCTCTCCGCGTGCTTCCTCCGTGTCTACCACATTGGGTGTTAGTTGGATGTTGTCTGGGCGTTGCCTGGTGTTGTTTGTTTTTGTTGTTGTTGTTGTTATGTGTTTTTTTTTTTTGTTGTTTTGTGGTTGTCTTGCGTTGTCTGGGCGCGCCCGCGCCCAGACAGCGCCAGACAACGCAAAAAAGAACAAACCATCTACATGTTATATGTTGTCGTTCTTTGTTGTTGTGTTTGTGTTGTTTTGTGTTGTTGTTTTTGTGTGTTCCTCCCCCGCCAGCTCCTCCTCCTCCTCCTCCTCCTGCTTCCCCCCCCCCCCCCCCCCTGCCCCCCCCCCCCCCCTCCTGCTGGGAGATATGCCGGGTTCTCGTCGGAGGAAGGGGCGGGGGGGGGCGGGCCAACCGCTTTGTTTCGCTTGCATGCACATTCATGTTTCAGCGGTCTGTCCGCTTTGCTACGCTTGCATGCTTATTCATGTTTGCAGCGGTCTGTTCGCTTTGCTACGCTTGCATGCTTATGCGATGGTGTGTTCTCGTTGCTTGTGTGTTATCGCCTGTACTTTTTCAATTGTAAAGTTCGCGAGCTATGATAAAGCTTGAAGGGAGTGCCGTATCATAATGTTACGGCTCAAGTCTGTTCTCATGGTCGGTTGGCCCGCCCAGCTGCTCGCTACCAAGGCTGCCGACCTAGCGATAGTCTGGGGCCTTGGCTCGCGCCAGTGCCCACCGTGCCCCGACTGCACTGTCAATTGCCCGACGGTCACTTGCTCGACGCCGTCGATCAATATCACCTGCCCGACCTTCTCTTGCCCGTCGTTTGCCCCGCAGTCGGCCGAGGGCGCGGGCTGGTCAGGCGTCTTCTTCTTCGTCGCAGGCCTGCTCGTGGGCTTCGGAGTATTGACTTGCACTGGTCTCATAGGCCGCAGTGTTGGCTGGCTGTCTTCGTTCTGTACCAGACGCCCGGAGGTGGAGGTTGTCGCGGACGACTCGTCCACTCGCGACCTGGCGCTGAGGCAGCTCGCCATCATCCGTCAGCGCAATGGTGGCACCAGGTGACGTGGTGCTGGTCAGGTACGACCTGCCTGGCCCGCCGCTCTGGCACGAGCGTCTCATCCTCGCGGTGGGCGCGCAGCCAGGGCACTACGCGGTGTTGACGCCTGACGGCGACATTTTTGTTGAAGAGCTTCGACCAGATAATGTTGATATTGCAGAGTTTCGCGCTGCACCAGGACTGGGAGTACCGCCGCAGGATATCCCACTGGCCAGCGTGCATCGGTTCCGCGCAGTGCCGACCGCAGCCGAGATGATCCAGCACGTGCGAGACGGAGCGCTTCAGGCAGGCGTACCTGTTCCAGCGGCGGCGGTGGTGCCTGTCGTGGGCGCGCCTGGTGCAGCGCCTGGCGCCTGGCATCCGCCGCTGGGGCCAGCAGCTCCGCCCGCAGGGGCGTTGGTGGCCGTGGCTCCTCCGATGGGGGCTCACCTCGGCCCAGCCGCGCCGCCGCCCGTGGCTGCAGGCGGCGCGGCCGCTCCAGGCGCGGCTGCTGCGGCTGCTGCGGCGCCAGGGCCCGCTGGCGCAGCGGCAGTGGCGGGTTCGCCGCTCGCGTGGGTTGCGGCCGAGGACACTCAGGACATCGCGAAGGGGACTCAGATTCCGACACTTCCTGACGCCGCTGTGACATGTGGCGACAGAGGCATCATCCCCTACGGCAACGGTCACTTGTTCGTGCAGCGCATGGCAGAGGCCGACATCTATAGGTTCGTGCATGACGATCTCAGGGTGCTGCCCGTGGTCGTCGACGCGTCGGGCGAGCGTAAGGTCAGCTTCGCGGAGGCGGTGTCGGCCATGGATCCAACGCCCCCGAGAGGCGGTCTAGGCCTAGACGGGCCGCCCACCACGTTCTGGTTGTTGAAGCAGATTCGAGATGATGATGCGAGCCCGAACGCTCACCATGAGAGGCGGGTGCGATCGTCACGCATTCCCGAGGGAGATCGCTCGGTATACGAGCATCAGGTTCTCTGCAGGATCCTGGACGCTGCCGCCACCTACGACCAACTGAACCTGCCAGCTATGAAGTGGGCCGAATTGGTATGCCGCCGCATGGCACTGATCAAAGAGGCCCACCGGGCCGCACCATCCAATCCAGATTATTCTGCTGGCGACGTCTTCATGGGCTGGGGACCTCAGTCGGCGGGAGGCGGCACGAATCCTGCGCTGGCGCAGTACGTGGCAAACCAGCTGAAGGACCAGGCGGCCATCGCGAAAGAGAGCAGAAAAGCCCGCGAGGAGCAGCAAGCCCGAGGACGTGGACGCGGCAGAGGCCGTGGCCGCGGCGGAGGTGGACTCGCTCCCGCGGGCGAGGAGGGATGAGCCCCCTCCCTCCTGGGCAGAGTGGCCGCCTCCCAGGAGATCTTCCAGGCCTGCGCGGCGGTGGCGTCTTACAGCAGCGGCTCCACCAGGCTCGCGCTCCACAAGAGCTCGGACCCTTCCATGCCCATCGACACGGCCAGGCGGTCGCGGGGGATCGACCTCGCGATCTTTTTCCCTTGCCTCCAGTTGATGCTAGGCGTGATGTGCCTGAGCAAGTTTTGGCTTCTGATCGAGCCCTCCAGCGCCGAGAGCGGCGTGCACTTGAAGCGACGACGGTGTGCAGTGCCCTCAATGAGTTGTACGGGGTCGGCTCCACGGACCTCGCTCCCAACCTGGCGCAGGAGGAGGCTCACCATCAGGTACTGAGCAAGCTAGCTTCTGTGCCTGGCAGCGGTAAACCTGTACCTTTTCCGCATGACGCCTTCCGTGAGGTCATGCGCACAGACCTCTCCTACGCTTCGGAGGAGGTTGCGAGTCGCGTCCGACCCTTTCGCACTGCCCCCGTGTCTCTTCCTCAGTCGGGCGCAAGGGCGCCCAGGCTCGAGGATGTCCTTGACCAGGAGGGGCGTCAGGTTTTAATCGAGGGGGTCGACCGCATGCTTAAGTCCCCACAGGGGTGGGGGGAAGTGATCGAGACCTCTCCTCACGTCACCCCCTACTTCGATGAGGTCTTGCGAGCTGATCAGATTGCATACGAAGGTTTTGTGAAAGACTTGTATCACGCGGGTATCGTTGAGTTTTCATTTGAGGTCGAAGATCACATCACTCCATTCTTTGTCGACAAGAAGGGTGTTGCTCTGCGCATGGTGTTGGATTGCAGAAGTCCGAACCGTAGGTTCAGAGCGCCACCTCGGATGAGGATCGCAACGGGAGCTGTCCTCTCTCGTCTGCAGGTTCCACAAGGCCAAGTTTTGTACGGTGCTCTGTCGGATGTCAGCATTTTTTTCTACTGGCTCGTGCTGCCGCACTGGCTCCGCAAGTACTTTGGCCTGCCAACAGTTAGTACTGCCAACGTCATATCTTGGGGCGCTCTTCCGGGACATGAGTCTCTTCGGGATGGCCTTCCTGGTCGTGTTTATCCTGTCATGCGGGTCTGTCCTCAGGGCTGGTCCTGGGCTTTCTGGTTCGCACAGCGGGCTCACTCACATCAGGTTCTACTGGGTACCCGACTCGGCTCGGACCGACTCCTCGAAGAAGATGCCCCAACTCCGGACTTGTCCTGTAAGGTCCCCGTGGTCCTCCCCTACTGCGACAACTTGATAGTCATGGGCACAGACAAGGACTCCGTCAGTAATGTTAAGATGTTGGCAGTCGAGCAGCTCAGACGTGTGGGCTTCCAGGTACACGAGGAGGTGGAGGTTGCAACCTTTTTCGAGTCCCTGGGCTACCTGGTTGATGGAAAACGGGGGGGGTCTTTCCGATCCCTCATCGGCTTGAGAAGGCCGTCGCAGCGTTCACCCATCTCAGGAGAAGGCCGCACATCACGGGCTGGCAAATTAGTAAGGCTCTCGGATACGTCACGCCGATCTTCCTCCTCACCCGCTCCATGTTCTCGTTGCCTAATGCCCTGTATCAGTTCATGCACGAGAACTGGAGCCGCAAGAGGCGTCTCTGGCATTCAGCCGCGCTGGAGTGTAAGTGGATATCTGTGTTGCTGCCGCTCGCTTGGGCGGACCTCAGGATGCCGTGGACTTCGCAGGTAAAAGCTACAGATGCCTCGCTGTCCGGGTACGCCGTGGGCAAGTCTCTCTGGAATGTCTCAGATGTGGTGGAGGCAGGGGGTGCTCGAGAAAGGTTTCGATATCGCTGTGCCGTGCCGTCAGCCGCGCCGCGCCGTGCCGCTCTGGGGACCCTCGACCCGTTCCAGGACCTCGAGACGGTGAAGCCCATCGTCGACCGCTTCGAGCCCTCCCCCTACGAGCCCAACTACCTCTTCAAAGAGATCCCCGAGGGCCTCCTGCAGGACTCCATGTGGAAGACTAGCTACGCGGCGCCCTTTGTGTTCAAGGAAGGTATTGGGGATCTGGAGTCTCGTGCTACGGTCTCTGGCGTTAAGCATACTCTGAGGTCCTCTGGAGGTTTCCGCTCTCATCACCTGCATATTGGAGACAATCTTGGCAATGTCTTGGGACAAGAGAAGGGCCGCATGAAGAACTTCACGCGTCTGGTCTGCTGTAGGAGACTCTGTGCTTTGGAGCTTGCCACTTCCGCTCGCATACACCATCGCTGGATACCCTCGGAGCGGAATCCTGTGGACAAGGGGTCTCGTTTGTGGGAGCACCTTAGGCTCAAACATGGTCAGGGGCCTTCTCCCTCAGGGAACACAGCCTCTGCCGCGGCCTCAGGTGCGGCTGAGCGGCCAGCCGCCTTTCGCCCTCCTCCAGGACTGCCCCATCCCGTCCCATGTGCGAGCCCCTCGCCCCCGGGGCCGAGGCCTGCGGGCCGCGCAGGTAAGGCCGCCCGCTCGGGCTACGACGGCCTCAGCCGCGCGGCGAGCTCGCACGCTGGGGACGCAGGAGAAGCAGCGGCTCGCTCGGGGTGCGCCCAACAAGCACGCTCGGGCGCAACTCAGGCGCGAGATGGTCGGCTCGATCGGCATCCGTGCGTCACGCTCGCCAGAGACGCAGGTCGAGACGTTCCTGGAGGCGAACGCCGTCACGGAGCGGACACATGCCATGTACGTCAAGAGGGTCGCGGACTTCGAGAGCTGGGTCTCGGCCAGGGGCCTCAAGCTCACCTCCGCCAAGCTGGTGGACTGCGCGCTGGTGGACTACCTGAACCAGCTGTGGATCGACGGCGCGGACATCGGCGAGGCGACGGGCACCTACGCGGCCTGGGTCAAGCTTCGCCCCTCCTTCTCCAAGAAGGGCCCCGACAAGCTCGTGAGGACCATGAAGGCGCTGCAGGGCTTCAACAGGCTGGACCCCGGCAGGACCAGGCCGCCGCTGCCGCTGGCGTTTGCAGCACTCATAGCGGTGGAGCTCGTCGGCATGGGCCTCGGCGGCATGGCGCTGGCGGTGATGCTCATGTTCTCGGCATACTTGAGGCCGATCGAGCTCCTCTCGCTTCAGGTGTCGGACGTGCTCGTGCCGACCCAGGGCAGCCCGTACTACGCGATCCACCTTCACCGTGCGGAGCGAGGTCAGCCCAGCAAAGTTGGCCTGTACGACGAGACGCTGCTGTTGGACTCGTCGGCGCTGCCGTTCCTCGGATACCTTCTGGGCGCGCACCGGGCCGCGGCTGCAGGGCCAGCACTGTTCGACTTCGATTACCGGAGCTTCAACGAGAGTTTCAGGACAGCTGCGAGGACCGCAGGTCTGGCGGCCATCAAGCCCGACTTGTATCAACTTCGTCACGGCGGCCCCTCGCACGACATCCTGAACCGTCTTCGCTCGAAGGCAGAGGTGAAGGACAGAGGCCGCTGGAGGGACGATCGCTCAGTTCGACGATACGAGGCGCACGGCAGGCTGCAGCTCCAGGAGAAGCTGGTCTCAGAGGCGACACAGAGCCGCGCGGCAGCATGCCTGGTCGACCTCGAGGCTCAGCTCCGGTCAAGTATGCCGCAGTTCGCCCGTGCCGTGCCATCTTCCAAGGTCAGAAGATCGTCGAGCTCTTCTCTGGTGAAGCTGGCTTCTCGAGGGCTGTCGCAGCCGAGGGGATCGAAGCGGAAGCTTGGGATGTGATTGACGGTCCCGGCGCGGACATCCTGACGACCGCCAACAGACGCAGGCTTGTCCGGGATTTCAAGACAGGCAGAGCTGCGGCCCTGCTAGCTGCTCTCCCTTGTCAGACCTGGACCAGGGCCCGAAAAAATGACGGTCAGGGACCTGGACCCCTTCGGGACGATCAAGACCACCTCTGGGGCCTCCCAAATCTTTCCCAAAAGGATCACGACAGGGTCCAGCTAGGCAACAGGCTATGGGTCGTCACCTTCCGCATTATCTGTCAGCTGGCCTCCCTCGGGGTCCCCGTGGTGCTCGAGAACCCGTTCTCGTCCAGGATCTGGATTACCAAGCATGTCAGTTATCTCATACGCAAGTTTGGGGCTCGTTTGCTCGAGGCGCATTATTGTCAGTACGGAACTCAGTGGAAAAAACCTACAGGCTTCCTGGTCATCAATTGCAACTCACTCTTTGATTTCAAAAGATGTTCTGGGACAGGGGGACGCTGCTCTGCTAGTGGACATAGGCATATACAGCTCATGGGTAAGGACGCCAACGGTAACTTCCGCACTAGAAGGGCTCAGGCCTATCCCGCCCCCCTGTGTAACTTTTTATCCCGCTCCCTGGTCGCTCATTTAACAAGTCAATATATGCTTAGCCTCGAACCTCATTTTTTCGCGCTAGATAAAGATAATTAGCACTTCGTAGGGCACACGTGTATGTGGGTATGGGAGCGATTGATTGCTCGAGTATTTCTCACGATCCCGTAACTCGTCGCCACTGGACTGCTGATGTGTACTGTCTGCCTCGTAGCGTGCCCAGGCGGAGAGCTCAGTAACATTGTGCACTGTGCTGCCAAAAGATTTCTCTTGTATATCTTGTGGCTTCGCCTATGCACGGCATGTTGCGGGATCATTGTAAAGTTCACGAGCTATGATAAAGCTTGAAGGGAGTGCCGTATCATAATGTTACGGCTCAAGTCTCCCGCCCACTAACCACCCTCAACCCTGTAGAGCAGGGTTGCTTCTCAGTTGTTTCACAACTCTCGCTAAAGCGGAACTAACCTCTCCGGCTGGGAGCGATTGATTGCTCGAGTATTTCTCACGATCCCGTAACTCGTCGCCACTGGACTGCCGATGTGTACTGTCTGCCTCGTAGCGTGCCCAGGCGGAGAGCTCAGTAACATTGTGCACTGTGCTGCCAAAAGATTTCTCTTGTATATCTTGTGGCTTCGCCTATGCACGTCCTGGCACGGCATGTTGCGGGATCATAGTTTCAAGTTTTTCTTATTTTCGCTATTTCCACATTATTTCCAAAAAGAAAAATATTTTTCACTATGTAACAATACCTTTCATTATTATTCATTATTTTTAGTTATTTTCCACTAGTTGTCATTATGTTTTCACTGTTTTGCATTAAAAATAGATGTGTCATTATTTTGCCAATGTTGCACTATATGTTGATGCGGCCCTATAGAAATCTATAGGGCGATATGGCTTTCTATAGTCTTCGCGTTCATCAAAGCAGGAGTACCCCGGCAACGACCCCCAGACGTTGGAGTTCCCGGCCGCTTCGGCTGCGACGGATGGACCAGCCCGCGAATGGCGGGAGGTGGTGCAGCTGTGCCACGAGGAGCAGATCGCCGATTTCGCGACGCGTGGTCCGCGCACGGCTGCTCGGTGTGCCAAGTACCAGGTCAGAGAGGGGGGGCCGTCGCTCCACCGCGACATGTGGAGGGGCCACAGGAAGCGCACGTCCACGGACTACGGCGTGGACACGCACGAGGCCCTCTCCCGCACGTTTGAGGCCATGGGAGTGTCGGGCCACCTCGACATTTTCAACTTGGCGAGCGGGGAGATTGGGCACCGCGCGCTCCAGCTGATCGGGCGCTACTGGGACGACAGGAGCGCTGAGCAGCAGCACAACTACCGCAAGATCCCTCTGGAAGGGGCCCAGGCCTTCATGGGCGGGGCTCGGTCGCCTCTTACGGTGCGCCCGGAGCTGCGCGAGACGGTCTCGAGGGAGTTGAAGCGCATGTACAGCATCAAGAAGAACGCCAGGAAGCTCAGGGAGGAGCAGGCCGCCGCCCCCATGGCAGAGCCCGCTCCTCCCAAGGGATCACGATGCTGCGGCCGCCGCCTGGACGGCCTCGGCCCGGCGGCGGAACTTCAGAGAGGTTGGTGGATAGCGACGGACACGCGCAGCGGTCGCCTCTACCCCTGCCAGTCCCTGACTGGCGCGGGGCCCCCGGCGGCCCCGCGCGGGCGCGCTCTGCTCGACGCCGGCGCGGGCATCGGGCGCTGCGGGGCGAGCTCCTTACGGAGCTCGTGGTGGCGCTCAACCAGCTGGATGCCGGCTCGGACCTCGTTCGCAGACAGTGCGAGGGTGAGCCCAGCAGGATGCAGCAGCTATGTTTGGAGCGACTCGCCGAGAGCTGCGCGGCAATGGGCGCCCCACCTTCCGACATGTCGACCGAGGTGGCCTTCCGGGAGCTCCAGGTCAGCACCGCCTACGGGGACTGCGACCCCGTCACGGCGGCTCCCTTCGCGCGCGACCTCGTCTCCTTGCCGGCTGTCGGTGGCGCCCCGGTGCCGCTGGACCAGCTGCTCGGGAAGGGCGGTCCAGAAATCGTGCGGAGGTTCATCGCTACCAAGGTTTTGTCAAATCAGGATGCCGTCGAGGCAAAGAGGGACTCGGGTTTTGCACGGCCGTATTTGGATCCAGTTCTTCGTCGGCGCGAGGACTACCTCTCCTTCATCCGCCGGATGGGGGCTGCCGACGTGCTGGACTTCAGGCTCGACGGCGAGGATTTCGAGGAAGTCGGGCTTTTCACAGTTTGGAAGAAGGACGGTCGCCAGCGCCTGGTGATCGACTGCTGGGGGTCAAATTTGCATTTCGCGGAGCCTGACAAGACCGGCCTCGCGAGTGGGGCCAGCTTCAGCGCCATGGAGCTGCAGGAGGGCGAGCAGCTGTGGACCGGAGGCGTGGACATAGCCGACGCCTTCTACAACATGGGGTTGCCGAGTGATTTACGACGTTACTTTGCTCTCCCTCGGCTGCGCGCGGGCGACCTGGGACTCAAGAGTGTCGAGGGCCAGTCCGTGCTGAGCCGAGCGTGGGTTCGGCCGTGTTTGGCGGTCTTGCCGATGGGATGGTCGCACGCTCTCGATTTCTGCCAGAGGGTGCACCAGGCGATAGTGCTGGAAAAGGAGGACCTCTCCGAGACAGCTGAGATCGTCGACGGGCGCCCGCCAGCTGATGTGGGTGAGGGGGCCTTCGCGGCCCACGTGGACAATTTCGTTGCCTTCGGCGCGGGGCCCGAGAGGCCTGCGGCTATGCTGGGCGCGGCTCGGAAAGCCCTCGAGGGCGCGGGGCTCCTGGTGCGCCCGACCGAGCCCCCCGCCACCGTCTCGGAGCAGTTGGGCTGGGTCTTCGACGGGGAGCGAGGGGCCTTGCGCCCCAAGAATCGCCGCGTCTGGAGGTTGAGGCTGGGGCTTCTGGAGCTCTTGAAGAAGGGGTGCGCCACGGCCCGCCAGGTCGGGAAAGTCGCTGGACACTATGTCTTCATCGCCCTCGCTCAGAGGCCTATGCTTTCCGTCTTCAACGCTGTCTACAGTTTCTCCCGGAAGTATTTCTCGCGGGTCATGAAACTCTCGCCATCGGTTCGACGTGAACTTCAATGGGCTGCTGCTCTCCTCCCCCTTGCCTGGTCTGATCTTCGTGCACCACGGGGCTCCAAGGTGCATGCGAGCGACGCGAGCGAGGAGGGGAGAGGGGTCTGCCAGAAGGAGGCGGACGTCGACATCATCAGGGCTGCGGGTCGTGATGAGGAGAGGTGGAGGTTTCGTCATCCTGGAGTTTCTCTTCCTCGCGATTGTCTCGGTGGACCCAGGGGCCCCGTGGAGGAGCCGGAGATCGTAGAGGGCGAGAGGTGGAAGGTGCAGGAGGTATCGAGCGAGCTGCGCGGGGGCAGGCGGCACTTCGCATCGAGTGGGGGATGGGCCTGGGCCGAGAACATCATCGTCCTGGAGGGCCGGGCCATCGTTCATTCGCTTCGTCACGCACTTCGAGATTCGAAGTCCTTTGGTCGGCGTCTTCTTTTCCTTTCCGACAACATGGGGCTCGTATGTGCTTTGCAGAAGGGACGATTTTCCGCCGGGGGGGTCCTTCGCATCGCTCGGCAATGGGCTGCCCGGTGCCTGGCAGCCGGCGCGCAGGCCTCTGTTCGCTGGATCCCGTCCGAGCGGAACGTCGCGGACGCGCCTTCGCGACGCCGCGCCCCCCTCGGCGCGTGGCTCGACGGGCCCAAGGACGGCGATGAGCCGGACCTCGCCTGCTGGGACGTCAGGGGCGGGAGCCGCCGCAGCCAGCTCGCGGACTGCGAGGCAGCGGGAGCAGAGCTCGACGAGCTGGCAGCCCGCGGCGCCGCCACCGGGCCCCTCCGGGGCGCCCGGCGGCCCCCGGCAAGCAGCCGGCCGACGGGGGCGCTCCGCCTCCGTCGGCGGCTCGCCGGCCGCGCCACCTCGGGACGGCTGCGGCCGCGGGGCGGCGCCCGGCCCGCGCGGCGCCGGCGCGGAGGGCTGCCCTCGCGGCGTGCCGGCAGGCGCGGGCTGCGCCCCTGGTCCTGAGGGCGACCTTGCTGCAGGGGGCCTCGGCGAGGTCGAAGACGGTCGCGCAGCGCGTCCCGCTGTGGCAGGTCGCCCTCCAGGGGTGGCTGGCGACTGCGCTCGTGGTGGGCGCCGCCCGAGTGCCGCCCAAGGGCGACGCGGGCGGCCTCCTTCGCGGGGCGGGCGGGCCGCGGGTTCCTCGCCGGCGAGCTCTCGCAGCGCGGGGCCGAGGCGATGGCCGCGGTGAGTTTCCTCAGGCCTCAGTCCAGCCAAACGGGCTACCAGTCGCTGCCGAAGGCGACGCAGGTCGTGTCGCTGTTCGAGCTGGAGCTGGCCGCCGCACGCTTCTGGGCGATGGCCGCCTGGGGGGTCAGCACATGCCGCTGCTTCCACAGGCGCGGCGAGCTGGGGCAGGCAACGCCGGACATGATCATCGCGCCCACGCCAGGCATGCACGCGCGCGGCCGGGCCATCGATCTGCACCCGTCCGTGGAGGAGGCAAGCGTCGAGACGGGGAAGTTCGACGAGACCGCGGTGTTCGACCTCGCGGTGTTCGGCTTCCTCGACAGCGCGCTTGCTTTCCTCAAGAGCGTGCGCAGGTGCCAGGGGGCAGGCCACGGGGCGAAGCCGCTGCGGAGGCTGCCGGCTGCCGTCCGCGCGCTGGCCAGCAGCCCGACAGCGGCCCCCCTGGCGGCCCGCGCGAGGCCTTTGCCTGCACCCTGGCTTGCAGAGGGGCCCGCCTAGTCCAGCCGCAGGTTTTTCTAGAACTGTTCAGTGGGCGTGGAGGCTTGTCTCATGCTCTGCGGGCACGAGGCTTTCTTGTGCTGGAGTGGGACCGTGCGCGTGGGCCCCAGTGGGATTTGGCGAAGACGGCAAATCAAAAACTCGTGAGAGGCTGGATATGGGCGGGGCTCGCGCGGAGCGTGTTCATGGGCACGCCGTGTCAGACTTGGACCAGTGCGCGGGACACCGGGCCCCTTGGGGATCCTGACAACCCTCGGCCTTGCCTTCCATCTCGTCTCCGAAGTGATCAGGAGTTAATGGGTTTGCGTGATCTCAGGCATCCAGATGACCTGGAGGCGGTGAGAATAGGCAACCTGTTGGCCGCGTTCTGTTGTCGCGTACTTGAGCTGATGCACTTCTGGGCTTTGCCTGTCGCCATTGAGAATCCAGCCCGCTCTCGCCTGTGGCTCCTCCCGCGCCTTTTGAAGGCCAGAAGCTGGCCATCTTCCTCCTTCATCATTACAGATATGTGTCAATGGGGAACGGCCTGGAAAAAACCCACTGGCGTTCTCGGTGATCGAATCGAGCTCACTAATCTGGCGTGTCGATGTGGTGGTAAGGTTCGCAGTCGCACAGGAAAGCCTCACACGTCAATTCACGGGCTAGCTGCCGCGGGAGGCTTCAAGACCAAAGCCGCGGAGCGTTACCCGCCTCGTTTTTGCAGTGCTCTCGCAACCGCTTGTGACCAGGCCCGCGGGTGCCCCAAAACTGGCCAGCTCTCTCCCCTTTTCACTTCCAAAGGGGCCCCTGTGTAGTCAACTCCTGGCACTGTGGCTTTGCTCTTCCCTGGCAGTAATTAGTGATGTTTTGTTTACGAGAGGACCAACTGGAATGTTTTGCAAGGTTGCGTGTCTTGAGCCCTCGTCTCAGGCTTGATTGTGTCACTGGGTCTGGCTCTTCCAGACCCAGTGTGATTGTGGCCATTGCCGGCGCTGCCTTGCCGATGCTCGCTCCGTCCTTGCGGCGCGGAGATAAACTGGCCTCAGCAGCGGGGGACGGCAGGCATCCTCCTCCTCCTCCTCCTTCTCCTCCTCCTCCTCTTCCACCTTCTCCTCCTCCTCCTCCTCCACTTCCTCCTTCCCCCTCCATGTCGCGCAAGAACCATGGCGCGCGTGCCACTTGTTTGGTACGCGCTGGCCGTCCAGACCGTTGCAGCGCGTGCCCAGTGAAGCATATAGCCTGTGGCTTCACATTCGCCCGGCCGCGTTCGTCATCCGCAATGGTCCGTTCCCTCCTTCCTCCCCCCCCCGAAAAAAAAAAACACCCGCCCACTTTAACGTGACGCCCGCCCGACCCCTCCGTTACGGCCCCGCCCGATCCGCGCGTTGGGGCCCGCCCGCCAGTCGAGCCCGTTAGGGCCCGCCCCCGCGCTGGCCAGCCTCCGCGCCCGCGTTGGAGCCCCGCCCGCCCAGCCCGCCTGACGCGCCCCGCCCGCCCGGAACCCGCCCGTTCGGGCCCCTCCCGTCCGACAGAGCGCCACCGACGAAGGCGCCAGCAACGAGGCAGTCGACTGGGCGAAACCGACAGTGGGCGAAACCGATTACGGGCGAAACCGACTGGGCGAGACCGACCCGGACGAAACCGTTTTCGGCGAAACCGACCTGGGTGAAATTGACCCGGGCGAAATTGATCAATGTTTCGGGCCATCGTTTTTGCTCGACGTTTTCGGCTTCCTTCTCCTCCTCCTCCTCCTCCTTCCCTTTGTTTCTGCCCACTCCTCCATCCCTCTTCCTTATAGATCCACCGACCTTGTCGGCGTGTGCGAAACGAATGTTTTAGCGCCGCGCACATTCGTCTTAACAGTTTGAACGGTTTCAGGGATGGAGGGCGGTTATGTTCAAATCGTGGTTCTCGCCTTAGCGTCGCGCGCCTTCATTGTACAACATTGCAAGCGTTTCAAGGGTTCGTATGGTTGAGGTCCCAGGAATGGTATCATGGCACGACTCAAGAATGTCACGACGCAACAATTAAGCGGGATCGCGGCGTCAAAATCCCAGGGATGGTGTTCTGGCACGATTCAGAATCGCCGGAACGCAACCGTCACGTCGATTCGCGGCGTTGACGTCCTGGGAAATGTGTATTGGCACGATGGAAGATTCTTAGGAAGTTGTTATCAGATGGGGCATTTCCCGCAATGAAAATACAGTCGTATAGTTACGCCACGACCCATGAATAGGGAATTTGGAGGGAGGGCTTATTGCAATATCGTTGATGCTTCTTGGGTTTAAAACTTGTCCTCCCCCTCATCCCCCTCCTCCTTCTCCTTTTTTTCCCCCGCGTCACGCCTTCTCCAATAAATTTCGACACACCTCTCGCACATTTCGTTCCCCAACAGGGGCTTCATCTGCGGCCCTAGAACATGTCCGCATGCCGTCCCCTCGCCTGGTTCG